ATTACTATATCTTACCATTACCAGGCCTGACATTAGCTTTGCAGTCCAGGTTTTAGCACAATTCATGCAAAGGCCTAAACTCTCACATTGGGAAGCAGCTCTGAGGTTAGTCAGGTACATCAAGAATTGTCCTGGTCAAGGAATACTGTTGAGTAGTACAAAAGGCTTGGAACTTGAAGCATTTTGCGACTCAGACTAGGCAGCATGTCCAAACACAAGAAGGTCTGTGACAGGTTATATGGTTAAACTAGGGGATTCACTAATTTCCTGGAAGTCAAAAAAGCAGCACACAGTGAGTAGAAGTTCTGCAAAGGCTGAGTACAAGAGTATGGCTGGTGCAGTAGCAGAAATTACTTGGCTGGTTGGGGTGTTGAAAGAATTGAATGTGCAGGTTATAACTCCTATAAGACTGTATTGTGATAGTAAAGCAGCACTACAAATTACAGCTAATCCCATCTTTCATGAGAGAACTAAACACATTGAAATAGACTGCCATTTTGTAAGGGAAAGGATCAAAAGTGGACTTATACAACCTACTTATGTCAATACCAAACAACAGCCAGCAGACATATTGACAAAGGGTCTAGAAGCAGCTTCTCACCACTTGCTACTGTCCAAGCTTGGAGTCTTCAACATATACGCAGACTAAAGCTTGAGGGGGAATATTGAGAATAAGTAGTTAGTTTGTTAGTTAAGTTTCTGTTATGTAACTAACTCTGCCAGCTGTATTAGTTTGTTAGAGAATGCACAATGTGTGATCTATGTGTGATCTATATAAGGAGCACATTCTCCTTTATTGTAATCAATCAGAAATAAAAATCCTCTTTCCTCTCTTCTTCAATTCTTCTGTTCCTTCCATAACTGCTTCCATGGAAGAGTAGCTTCCATGGCTTCTATCATAAAAGCTTAAGGTTTACAGAACTGACAAAAGTCTCGTTCTAATTCAAGATTGTGTCAAACTATAAGTCCTTCTCCTCAATCAACATAAATGCCAAAACCACACACAAACAAGTAGCATTCAGAGAAAAAACATCCTTATGCGATGACAACTCCAACAAGTAGTTCCCTTCTTCCCGATGAAATCATAACAGAGATCCTCTTAAGGCTTCCCACCAAATGATATAAGTTGTTGTGGTTTATGAAGAGATGTTGTATTCATGATTTGGACCTTAGTCATATTTTGATACTAGATATATATATCAATGCACGAATACACTACACTAATTTTGGACCTTGGACCTCAAGCATTTTTTGATGTTAGATATATGTACTTTGATACACGATATATGTATCTATGCATAAATACACTAATGAAATTGATATCGATACATATGATGAAATCAAATACACTAGATAAAATTGGTTTTGGATACACATATGCATTCTGAAATATAGATACACAGGGAGATATGTAAGCAAGAGAGAAGAGAGTAGAGCGAGATAGGCAAGCAAGAGATGAGAGATGAGAGCGAGATAGGAGTAAGTAAAAACATAGCCAGTGTATTTCAGATACATGTAAATTACAGTTGTATACAATGTATCTGAAATAAATTACACCAAAATTGACCAACATGTATCTGATATACATGTTTCAGAGTTCATCAAAAATACAATATATCTAGCAAACAGACAGTTGTACGAATGATAATTTGATAAACTAATGTGTTTGGACATAATTACAACCTCAACTGATGGATTTGTGTTGTTTCCTCCTATGAAAAACACATTTAACTGATATCCATTGTTGATAGATCTCATACAAAAAACATATTTGACTTATAGCTATCATATTTGATATATCTAAATTCACATTGATTTGTTTTATAACGCGTAGTCATGATTATAACGTCTAATTTTGGATAAATGGAGAAAATATTAATGTTAAACTCGAAATATAAAGTAATCAAGACTATCTTCCGTATCGTAAATTTGAATGCTCAAATATTATAGCTAAAACAAAGATTGACCTGAATATGGCTTGTGACATAAAACTAAATGAGTTTTCTTTATTGGGAAAATTATGCAAAATAACAAACATTTAGCCTATATTAGGTACTATAGAGCTACAGTTTAAAAAATTGTAATTCACGGCTACAGTTTCCTCAATTCTTGTTATTCACCTGATTTGTATAAATTCAGAATTTGTAATAATTCAGTTTCTGATTGTATAAATTCAGAATTTTGTATATGCTTATCCTAGCTATTTGTATACGATTTATAAAAACTCTATAATAAATTACCCTGTTTGTATATTGACAAACGAGATATACAACTGGAGTTTTGAAAATTTTCTAAATGTATAAATGTAGATTTTGTATATACTTACCCTATTTGTATATTCGCAAGCAAAATATACAAACGGCAGCCTCCATAGCAAACATAACTATAGCTATGGAATGCAATTATTGAAACTATAGTTATAGAGCCTTATTATGTCTATTATGTTTGTTATTTCTAAATTTTTCTCTTCTTTATTTCATGTGTTATTCGTGTTATTTTATTTTAACTCATTTTATCGCCTCTTTATTTATTTTTAATTATGTGTTCATTTGATTTGTCCTATATTTATCTTTATTGTTTCGATAAGAAAATAATTTCCATGTTCGAAATTCTTCGAAAAATTACTAACATGTAATTTTTCTATAAATGAAAGTCATATATTAACGTTTGAATAAAGTCTTTTGACTTTTATTTCATTCGATAAATTAGATATAAATATCTAATATCAGAACATAAATATTTCAAGTTCAATCATAAATGCGTAAGAGCGTATATATATGCCAATTTTTAGACATGCTTATATGAACTCGTGACTTCAGATACAAATCTTTTCAATCTCAATCGCGTTTGTTTGAAGTTGAGCCAAAAATAACTACTTAATATATAGCTTCTTAGCTTCCAACAAGCTAGGATCATAATTTTATGGGCAAAGGACATAAATCACATACTTTAAAGCCAAAATGACCATTTGTCCCTTATAAGTTTAAAATGACTGAAATCCCTCAAAAATTTAAAACACGGATACAATAATTCAGCACTGATACATTAAATATATGACGCGGATACATTATTAATTAACTGTGTCTAGTTTATTTCATGTGTTAATGTATCAATATATGATTGTTCTGCTTAATGTATCGTTGAAATTTGTTGAAACAGTACGGAAACATTACAGGCTAAAATTATGATACAATAACTGTGTCTAATTTATGTCATGTGTTAATGTACCAATATATGATTGTTCTGATTAATGTATCGTTGAAACAGTAAGGAAACGTTACTGTCTAAAATTATGATACAATAACTGTGTCTAGTTTATTTCATGTGTTTAATGTATCAATATATGATTGTTCTGCTTAATGTATCGTTGAATTTGTTGAAACAGTACGGAAACATTACAGGCTAAAATTATGATACAATAACTGTGTCTAGTTTATTTCATATGATAATGTATCAATATATGATTGTTCTAATTAATGTATCGTTGAAATTTGTTGAAACAGTACGAAAACATTACTGGCTGAAATTATGATACAATAACTGTGTCTAGTATATTTCATGTGTTAATGTATCAATATATGATTGTTCTGATTAATGTATCGTTGAAATTTGTTGAAATAGTACGAAAATAGAACTTTGTAAACAACTCGAAAGTCCTCGACATTCATGTACTTTTTCAAATCTTGTACAAAGTCATTGTTGTATGTTGCACCAAATTTCAAATAGTGTGTAGGGATTTGCTTGATAACATAACTCATAGTCTGTAAGAATCCAAAAACATAACAGAATATTATGCAAAAATAACAACCTATTATTAAGATGATACAAAATATGACACATTGCTAAGAAAGACACATTAATGACTGAGATACAAAAAATAACAGATACACAAACAGACCCACAAACAAAACACATACGATACACATGCATACCAAAAATAAAACACATTATATGTAACTGATACAACTTTTACTATGAAAGACACATTATATGTAACTGATACAATATTTAGTATGAAACTTGAAATAGCAGATACACATACACAGACCCATAAACAAAACACAAACGATACATTAATGACTGAGATCTACTGAACAATGCATGTTATAACAGTTGAAATAAAATACATTATAATTTGACTTAGTTTGTGTTTTGTTTATGGGT